TGGTAGAGGGGAAAGAAAGCTGTGTCTCTGGAGTTGAAACATTGCAGGGGACTAGTCAAGCTGGCGATTTTTTATGGAGGTACGACAATTGCGAAAAATTGGGAGGCAAAACAAATCGTTAGAAGATCTTGCATCTCAACTGCTTCCCAAGAGCTGAAGCGATTTAGAGGAAATCCGGCCGGAGTCTGAGCACAGGAGGCGTGGGTGCTGCCGGAGGGCTGGCCCTAACCGCGCTGCAGCGAAGTCCGCAGCCCTAGACCGCGTTAGGGGCCATCTCTGCGCGCTCTTTCTCTGACCGTCCAGACACCCTCCAGGTCGACTTTCAGTCTGCTAAGCCCTTGGCTGTGAGCTGCGGGGCAGGTGGGCACTGCCAGTTGCCAGCGCTGTCTCCTCCGGATCACAAAGGCTCCCCCGCTGCTCCTAGAGACTACAATGCCCAGGCCGCGGACACCGCGAGGGACAGGAGCGACATCAGAACACGCGTGGGGTGCGGTGGACTCGCTCTCTGAGGGCCAGTGGTGAGGAGGCCTCCGCCGGGACATTGCGAGGTGTGACCAAGGCCGTGGTCCTCACACTGTGCATGCGCGGAGCTGCCCGGGGCAGGGCTGTCTGTCGGGGTGGGCGTGGCAAACTTCCCTGGTCAGCAAAACAGACAACGCGATGCGGACTGATGCAGGTACTTGTAAAGCCAGAGACTCGGCATATCCAGGGGTGTGTTCGCTGGTGTGATCTGTTATCAAACGACTATTGTTACTTATTAGATATTTGTTATTAAATACACACATATCAAAAGACTAGGTGAGTGAACAGAACCCGGGCCCTTACTGCCCGCTTGGGGCCTCTCAGTGTTGGCCTCCCTTACTTTGGAAGGATGCCTTCTAAAGAATGAAAGTGTTAGATTTTAGCCAGGTGTGGTGGTGCACACAAACCTGTGGTGCCAGCGCTTCGGAGGCTGAGGCAGGAGGATCACCACAAGGTCCAGGCCAGACTGAGCTACATTCAGGGTCAGCCTCAACTGCATAGTAAGACTCTGTCTCAATCCACCCCCCAAGAAGCCTCAGATTCTCTGGAAGCCCATCTCATTCCTTCTTGTCCCTTCCAAAATATTTTCAGTGGTCATTTTTCCTGTTAAAGCAAGTTGCTGACCACTCTGGGGGCTCGCTCCGTGGCCATGGCAGGGAGTGGGCACAGCACTGTCTGGGGAGCTGGGTCATCTCGGCGGTGGCTTGCTACAAATGGCCGGGGCTCTGGGTTTTTGTGCGTGTCATCTGTCCACTGCTGTCGCTGCTGTGCAGTCTCTGCTGCAGAGCTCGCCCTGTCCAGGGGCCGCCAGAGCACATGGCCCTGTGGTGGGCCAGTCAGGTGGCTTGGGAGTGCTGAGGCAGGCCTGTCACAGAAGCCAGTGTGACAGTCGCCTCCTGAAGATCCCTGTTCCCCGTGACGGCTGCTGAACTGGTTCTGAGGTCCAGGAGATGAAGTCCCCTGGGCTGAGACAGGTGCATGTCTCTCCCACTGCCACATCTGAGGCTGGGGGTCCGACGGGACCTCACCTGTGTCACCTGCACAGAGGGGTGAAAAGCATCCTGGGAAAAGTGGCTCCACATGGTGCCTGAAGACCATCATGTTAATGGGAAAAATCAGACACTGAGATTCCAGACGTAGGAATAAATCAAAGAGCCAAGACAGACCGACAAAGGAAACAGGGAGATAGATCTTGCAAATGGGAAGGGACTTAGATTCAGAGGGAGAGGGAAAGGAGAGAGGAGGGAGAAATAGGAGAGTGAAGATGAGTCGGGCACATGCACTGGGGAGCAAGCACACCCCAGTAAGGCTTGAGCCGCTCTGGACTGGCTGCTGCTGAGCCTGGGTGTTCTGGGCTGGCTCTGCAATGGGGCTGTGTGATTTTGAGTCCTGTCCCCCACGGCCCCAAACCGAGCGCCCCCAGGCCTTCTGCACAGAGGGTCCACCTGCTGTCAGGCGGCAGACATTGTGCAGCAGGATGAGGCCAGGAAGCTGGTCTGCTTAGATTTCCTGATTGTTGACTTCAAAGAAATCGGGGTCAGATGCCGAGTCTCCCCAGCCATTCTAGGAAGATTTAGAGGAGCACCAGCAGGAGCCCAGCCTCTGAGTGAGCGGGGCTGTGGTCACCATGGAACTGCTACCTCTCAGAGCAGGGAAAAGTAAACGCGCATCCAATTAGTGGGAGCCCTAAAAAGAAGGCTTTGAAAACGCCTGTCTGAGGTCACGGGCAGGAGCTCCTGGCAGAAGTAATAGTGGAAGTCTGAAGAGAGCCAGTGAGCCGGGAGGACGTGGACACCCTACTTCTCTCCTAAGGAAGTCATGGAGAGGCTGTTTACGCATGCAGGGCTGCAGAGGCCGAGGACAAATTAGCCCCTGATGCTAGCAGAGCAATCCCTGCCCATGGCTTCTGTCCCGAGCGCTACGTGCCTTGCCCTGGTTTTCAGTTTCCTGTCTAAATGTCACCTTGTCTGTAGTGCTGTCTCCTCTGCGCTGTGGATTCTAACCCGTCCAGCACCTGACAGTCACAGAGAAGAGCAGAAACCTAGCTGTTTGTCTCCGGGTTCCTTCGGGGTGCAAGCGTGTGCAAGCATGTGCCCACAGGAGTGACGGAACGAAGGACTGAACCGAAGTTTCACACCTCTGCCTCCTTAGACATCACAGTTTGGTCTCTGGGACAGTGGGTGGGGTAGGTGTGTGCTCCTGTTGCATTCAAGGAGTTTCCTCGTGTCTCTTCGCATGTGTGTATGGAGTAATGAAAACAGACACCAACTTGAGAACACAGAGAGAGAAAGGTGGCTTCATTCTTGTAGGCAGAAACATGTATTTGAAAAATACCTTTCTAGGCCATTCCAAGACAGAAAATAGGAAGAGAAAGCTGTTCCCACGAGCTCCTCACTCCTCACTCAGGGCCGGGGCTGAACAGAGGGTTTTGCCACCAGCACAGAATAATAGCCTTTCCCAGGTGCACACACCAGGTTGAGAAAATGGACAGACTTTTCTCAATCTAAAAAGTTCTCCAGTATATTTTTTTAATTCTTCAGCACATTCTACCACTTATCTTACAAAAGGCACTTACACTGATAAGAAAAAGCAGGACAATGACTCAGCATCGGTGGCTGGCGCTGGCCTGACGGCCGGATCCTTGTGAACAGCTGTGCCAGGACTTCTGAGTTAGGGGTGCATGCTTGTCTTATTAACTTGCTTTTCAGCGCTAAGAAACAGAAACGTAGCTTTGAGAATGGAGGCAGTCTTGCTATTTCGTCCTGTCCCATCACTAGCCTTCTGATGTTTTACTCTGCAGAATGGAGAAGCCCTGTGTAACATAGTCCTCTGCTGCACCCCACACAAATCAACGCATTTAAACACAGACACGTGCAACTGAAAAGGAGCCCCAAGCTTCCTTCAGAGCTGTTCTTGGCTTCTCCCTGTGTGCTGGAGCTGAGCTCGTTCCATCACTCAGACGGCCCCACGGGCCCAGCGCTGCATGTGTGCTGGACGTATCGCCCCCATCAAGCTCACTTGGGGGACAGCAGCGTCTTCCTTACATGCAGAAGTGCACATGTCCCCCTGTACCTCTGGGCCAGTGTCTGTATTTCAGATCAAAGAGCTGCTGTGGCTCCGGGAGGTTTGTAACGAGGGTTCAGACAAATCGGGTTGAGATTGTGCAACAATGGCAAACTTCAGGAGCACAGCAGACGGAGGAGTGCAGTGATCCCCTGCACAGCAGGACAGGGATTTGTGGGGGCTCAAGGAGCCCCTCCCTCCCCTCCCTGGGGTCCCTTTCCCAGGAGAACACAGGGAAGATCTCAGGGGCACCTGCGGGCCGGGCTGCTCCCTGTACCTCGGGGTCTCCAACCTCTCACTCACTGGCCGGGCTCAGCGGCTGCGGGCTGCATGGTTGCCCAATGCTCCTCTTTGGCCTAGACAGTGTGGAGCCGGCTGCTGCTTCCGCCACTCAGGCTGCAGTAAACATCACCTTTCCCCTCTTGACCTGCCTGCCGACCTGGCCCACAGGCACGCGCACCCCCTCCTGCCCGCGCCAGGCTGCAGGACCTGACTCCCCGAAAGGGAGGACGCCATGCGGCTCTGGCCCGCTCTGCTGGGCACTGGCTCTGAGGAAGTGAGATCTGACGTGAGACGCAGCTGCACGGCCGTCTCGTGGGTCTCGCTGTCACAGACGTGGTTTCTCTCTGATCTCGTCCCTGTCTCCAGCCGTGCTGCCTGTGGCTCTCAGGGTGCCGGGGGCCCAGAGGCTCAGCATTTGGGACTCTCTGGTGGCCCCAGTGCTGCCCATCCCCAGACTTGGATGGTCTTGTTCTTGTAAATTCAAGGGCTGCTGGGTGTCTGTGTCAGCTCAGGGGACACCAGGAGTGCTGGTGGCCAGCAGGGGTGGGAGGTGGGTGCCCTGCAGGCCCACTGTCTGCTTCCCGTGTGGAAGCTCAGCTCTCACTGCTGTCTCCGGTGCACCATCCATTCCTGGACGTCTGAGGCCACAGTCCCTGCTGTGGGTGTCACTCCTGTTACCTCCGGGCCTGCCTCTCCCCGAGCTCGCTCCGGGCAGCCCGCAGTTCCCACTGCACCTGCATCCCGAGACTGACAGGTGCCTCAGCTGGGTGGGGGCGGCCCCTCCCACCCCCCATGTGGCATCATCTTCTGCCCTTCTTGAAGGCTCCGTGGAGAATCTCCAAGGTCACACTCTGCACTGCCTTTGCCACCGTCACATCCCTCACCTTCTCCCTCCTGGGTCGCCCCCTTCTTTCTCCCCCCGTCTTAGCAAGATGGGACAACTTTCCACCCCCTGCAGCCCTGCCTCTGCCGCCTGTCTCCCTCCTGCATCCTCACAGCTGGCTGTGCTCACAACCCCACCACCACGGGGCGTGCAGAGGCCTCACATTTCATCAATCAATTGATGGCACGTGTTCTTGATGCTAAAAACCTGGGGACCATCCAGCGTTCTCAGACACTGCCGAGCTCACTGCTTAGGAGCTCGGGATCCCAGAAGCTGAGTGGCCGGTGCACCAGGGCTGCGGGGTGCAGGAGGGAGAGGAAGTAGAACCTCCCGGTGAGCCCTGGGGCCCCCTGGGAGTCACTCCCGGAAGTCACTTTGTCTCTGGGCTAGAGGCTTTCTTCGAGCTGCATCCTTCTGGATCAGGTGAGGGAGCCGCCAGGTAAAGGGGCTGGGAGTCACTGGGCTCTGGGTGAGAAAACTCGGGGCGGCTGCAGCACAGGACACCTCAGCCAGGAGGACCTTAGACCAGGTGTGCAGGGTGGCCTGCGGGGTGGGGAAAGGATGCCAGGCCTCTGGGAGGATTCTGCTGACTGCAGAGTGGACCGGGCCGGGTCTGCCCAGGCTAGGGCAGTGAAGGTGGATGGGCAGCGGTGGTGGAAGTCCTGGGACACCAGGGCGGTCCTTCCAGACCCAGGCAGGTACTGGCACCGGGGAGCGTCCTGTGCTGAACTCTTGTGGGGATCAAAGCAGATTTGTGCAGGGAAAGGAGGGGAGCAGCTGGTGGAGGCGCTGAGAGCTTTGCACGCCGTGCACCTGACACCACGCTGGCTACACGAAGGGAAACAGAACTGGCCTTTATTCTGGGACAAAGGCCTTAGGATCAGTCACACAGCCTGTGTCCTGTCAGCTGCGTGCCTGAGTCAATCTCTGGGCCCTGGAACTTGGGAAGCAGAGGTAGAAGGCAGTGGCCCTGGGTTTCCACAGGGAGCGAGTGAAATAAGTGAGACCTCAACCTGAGCCTTCCAGTTACCTGTGTACACCTGATATCTTCACCTGTGGGTCTCACCTGGCCTCCACACCTGTTATCTGGACCTGTTGTTACCTCCTTGCGGGGGAAGCTGCTCGTGGGCCCTGCAGCCTCGGCTTCTCCCTGATTCTATCCAGAGCTGAAGTCTGGCCCCACCTTCAGCCCATCCTGACGTGAGCTCCTGTAGAAGAACCCCAGCATTTGCCAGACTCCTGGCTCGGGCCCTTCTCCAGCTGGGTCCTGTGTGGACGCCTCTCTGTGCCCTCCTGGGCTTCAAACCACAGCCATGACGTGCGGTCACCCAATAGGCACGCATTTGGGGTGCACTGCTGTCTCCCAGCACGTGCGTGTGCTTCCCGCCCCCAGTGCTGCCCGCACGCAGACACAGGTGTTCCGGAGGAGGAAGACAGGCAGTAAGCTGCAGACACAGTCACAACAGATCCTGGGGAGATCAGAAAACCCAGCCAGAGAAGGGGCAGGGAGTGCGCCGGGCCTGGGGCCTGCAGTCCGTGACAGGGCGGTCGGCCAGCCTTGTCGGGACAGAGAGGGGTCAGCTGGGTCTGCGCCTCACGTGACCCCGGGCAGGGTTACTGTGTGGACACATCCGGTATGGAATTTAATTTACAAGTAATGTGTGTGGGGGGCTTTGAACATAATGTAACTGCGTAGCCCTACATTATAACTCTCCTGGAGATGCCAGAGAAATTAATTGAACGATGAGGTGGAGGTTTGATTACAAAGGGGAGATTTATGAACCCACAAGAGGTGCCCGTGAATATGTGTTATTTCCAACCACAGAGCAGTGCGCCTAACGCTGGTCTGCTGGGCACATCTGGGAGGCTCCTCTTGTTGCCCCTTCTCTCGTCCATCTGTGCTGTTTGCTGTTCGAAACCGTTAGTCCTCTGCTTTGACTTTCCCCTTTAACTGCCTTCTGTCTGCGTGGTGACTCATTGATGTGCTAAGAAACAACATTTATAATACTCGTGTTGCCTCCACCGACCTGTAGTTAAAGGCAAGGGAGTTTATTTTCTAAACAAATAGATTTGGGCACACATGAAACCATAATTCATTTAGATAACTGTAGATTCCCATGCAGTTGTGAAAAATCATATATAGAGAGACGCCATGTGCTCCTCACCCAGACCCCCAGTGCTGGCATCTCATGAAGCTACAGTACATGTATGGTACATGCATGGCACATGTGTGTTCATGTGGAGACGTGGACACACCCACTGGACTTACGCAGGTCCCCCAGTTGTGCTGCTGCTGTGTGTGTGTGTGTACGTGTGTGTGTGTGTGAATTAAGCTCTATCTGCTTCTGTCGCCTGTGTAGATCCGTGTCCCCCCAGCAGCGGTGCTGAGCACCCCACCCTCTCCTCCTTCACTCTGGGAAACTGTGTCTTCTGTTTCTAAAATGTTGTCATTAAGAAATGTGACAATGGAGGAGGAGGTGTGTAACCTTTCCGAACAGAATTTCACCCCTTGGTCTAATTTTCTGGTGACTACTCCTAGCTGAATCGGAAACTTCTTCCTCTCACTTCGGTTCTGGTTGGGGCCTGGGTGTCCCCCAAGACACAGGCGGGGTGTGGGAAGGTGACTGGATCTGGGGCTGTCCGCGGGCTGAGTGGGTGGGAAGAGGGGTCACGCAGCCTGACCCGGAAGTGCAGCTTTCTCCCTGCCCCTGCCTTCCCTCTCTGCTTCCCTCCGCCTTGCACGAGTGCTGCTCGCCTCTGCCACTCCCTGTGCCACAGTTTCTTCTTTGGATCCAGCTGCCCAAGGACTGAAACAGGAGCCAAAATAAACTTCTCCTCCTCTGAGTCGAGGCTGCTTGCTCCCTGGGACAGTGTCCTGGTGGTGAGGACAGTAACTCAGCCGGCTTCTGAGCGGCACCCTGGAGGCGCCACCCATCTTTGCCTGTCTGACTGGGGCGCTGGCTGGTTACAGTTTGGAGCTGTCAGGAACAAAGCTGCCAGGTGCGTCCTTACACCATTCTTAGCACAACTCTGAGATTTCCATGGTCCTTTTGACCAGGACCTGAATCTGAGTGCTGGCCTTACATCTCCAGCCCTGGATTCAGTCTGGGATCCTGGAGGTCAGTAGGGCCTGCCAGTTTGCGTTTCTGGCCTCTCCACTGCAGTGTGGGGTGTACTCTGGCTCACTGTACTCTGGCCCTGGCTCCTGGAGTGGCAGGAATCGCTGCCCTGAGCGTCCTGATTGGATGGCTCTTCCCAGCTGGAATCTTCCCTGCATCCGGCCTGGGAGCCATGGGCGGGGGTCCTTGGCTGCTTTGTCTCTTCGTCCACTGCCTCTGTCCCCCAGCCCAGACCTCGGGGTTCTCTCCATCTCCTCCCCTAAATCAGACACGCCCCCTTCTAACCTTCACTTCTAGGCTTCCGACCTCTGCCCTGGCTCCCAGCCCCACCAGTGCGCCCTCTGGTCAGTGCGCAGTATGAGCCCTCCGTCCTCTGGCCTGGCCGAGCACAGCCTGGTGCCCCACGGCCCAGTCACATGACACTTCTTTCTTTCTTGTCCCCTGTTGTCCAGCTGGTGCCACCGGCCTGTGGCCCTCACTGGTCCTCGGTAGGACAGCACCTCGAGCTCTCGATCGGTCATGTCAGCCCAGGCTGAGGCTTTTTCTACTCGCTCCTGCCTGCAAGGGTTCCTGAAATCCAGCGAGGGGTGTCCCAGAGGTGTCCCCATGGGCTGTGGATATAGGGCAGGGCTGAGTGCTTTGGCCCAAGGTCTTCTTTCAGCCCGACCCCCACCAGCACTTACTTTTAGCTAATGGACACCTTTGGGCCACACGTCACATGACACTCGCCTGAGCACCTTGGGAACGTGAATTCGCTTAACCCGCTCAGCACCTCGAGCTACACCCATTAGCGTCCCTGCTCTACAGAGGCAGAGGCTGATGACCTGGCCAGCTCTTCTCACAGCAGCCCTGCGTGGAGCCCTGGGTGGGCATTACTGCTCTCTGCCTCCTTCAGGCTTCCTCTGGGTTTTCTGGTGCTGAGGATTGAACCCAGGGTCCCACACAGCAACACACATACCCCAGCCCTGAGCTACACCCAGCCCAACTGTGTCCTTTTTTGTTAAAGTGATAACCACCCCCATCTGTGGAAGCTAGATTCGCTGCAGGTCTCTGGAGAGGGCACTGGCCGGTGTCCAACACAGAGTCACTCGTAACCCCGTGTTTTGTGGAGCCACAAGAGGACACCATGGGGCTTTGGTCACTGTCGCCCTTAGGCTTTCCTTTGATGCTTTTGTATGGAAGAGTGGGAGCTTCACAGACCGTATGGGTCAGGCAGGGTTTGGTGCGTTGCGCTGTACCGAATGTGTGAGAAGTGGTCCCTGCTGGCTGTGCTGGGCCCTGGGGGTTGGTTTTGCCCAGTGGGTGCTAGAACCATAGCAACCGAGTTAAACCCCAACCCTGGGGGTACCCCTGTGCGAAGGGGTGACCAGTGCGGCCGGGCCCTGGTGAGGGAACTCAGCAAACAGTTCACAGCACCGGCAGGCGCCCGTTACCCTCACACCATGACGGACATCACAGGAGCAAAACCAGCTGTGAAAAGAAGCACTAGCAAGCAAGCTTGCCATGGTCCGGGAGTGTCCCGAGTCGTTCCCTATGCTCACGATCACAAAGCAGCAGCTTCTTCTGCCAGTGTGGTAGAGGGGCCTGTGGAATCACAGTGCTGGTCTGCACCGAGCCTTCAGGAGACAGTCGGGACCCCTGAGAGGGGTGGGCTTCATTAGCCCTTTCTGACCTGGAGTCAGAGGCCCGGTCTGCTGGAGAAGATCCGGAAACAGGTTTGCCCCATGACATGCGAGAACCCCTAGGAGCCAGCTGGACACAGGTCTGCAGCTGCTCCTGGCCTTTCCTGGTGCTGCTGAGCTCACTCCCTCAGCCCAGGCGCGGTGGGCCCGTCCTGTGCTGGGCCGTGGATGACACTGGCCTTGTTGTCAGGGCTCAGGTCCAGGTGCAGGGCCCAGACCCCTGACTGATGCCTGGAGAAGCCCGGAAGCTTGCGGACCCAGAAGGAATCAGCTTCCCGCCCAGTCTCATTCACCCAGGGCCTTTTGGCAGCCAGCTGTTCTTCCTGGGCCCTCTGCCCTGACTCCCCTGGCTCCATCCATGTGTCGGGGACAAAGCACCTCGGCGGAGAGGTCATGTCTGAGGCCATCAGACTACTGGTGGAGCTCGGCCCCTCCTGGTGATGAAGGGACCAAGAGCTCACAGTTCCCCGTGTGCGGGAACCTTGCAGCCTCCACTCGATCCTAGTCAGTCTCCAGTTGATCCTGTGTGACGCCGTCACTCAAGGACTCAGCTTAGATTTGTGACATTTCTCTTACTGGACAGGCAGTGCTGAGATGGTGGGACTCGGGGTGAGACCAAGAATCCGTCCAAGATTGCTGAGCTGGACCAACTGACGGGCCGACCTGTGATTCGTCCTCCTTGGGCCCAACTTTCAGGGACCATGGGCAGCAGCACGGAAGGAGTCGCCACTTGTTTCCTTTGCAGGGACAGAGTTGGGGACCGGCCTCTCTGGGAGGCCACACAAAGGCCAACAGTGCAAGGCTAGGGAGCAGCCACAGCCTGGGCCGAGTGGAGGGAATTGAAGGGGGGAGGCTCTGGGGCCAAAAGGACTGGTGGTGGCAGAGGAGCTTATGGGGGCGTGGCCTGGACAGCCCTCTCCCTCCCTGCTCCTCCCTTCTCTCTGCTTCCTGTCCCCCATGCCCTGAGCAGCTCTCTTCTGCCAGCCCCCTCTGCCGTCCTGCCTTGGAGCCAGTGTGCCAGGGACTGAAATGTGAGCCGCAGAAAAACCTCCTTTAAGTTTTAGGTCTCGAGTATTGTGGCTTAGGGATGAGAAAGTCAACAAGACCGCCTCTGTGCCTGTCCTTGGTTCCCAAGCAATTGGGGAATAGAACTTTGTCTCAACCTTTATGAAGAGTGCACTTGGGGATCTGAGCCTGGCCCTGACGTCCTTAGACCTTGGAGACTGGGCGCACAGGAACCCGAAGCCAGTTCTCTGGGTTAGGAAACCCAGGCCTCCCCCTGGACAGCAGAGAGGAAGTCCCCCGGGCCGGCTAAGTGAAAACACATTGCAGTGAGCTGGGGCTTTGTTATGAAATGGGTAAGCTTGCCTGGTCTCCAGGCCAGTGTTACTCGGGCTGCGAAGAGCCTGACCAAGTTGGCAGTTCTTCCTGGGCCCACTTGGTTCCCTTGGAATTAGCTGGTTCATTAACGACGAAATCTCCAAGAGGACACGTGGGTGAGCCGGGAAACTGGGTGAACCGGGTCCCCTAGAAAGTGTTATTGTGACACCAGGCGCTGGTCCGACTCTGGGCCCTTTGCCCCAGAACTGGTGGTTGCCTAACCGGGTGGCAGGGACTCCAGCTCCTTCCTGCTTTATGTGCCACTGCCGCTGCTTGGCCCATTCCTGCCGGAAGATGTGATGTTATCACCGCAGGGACCACCCAAGGTGTGCAGGCCAGCAGGTCCTGACCAGCCCCGCAGCTGTCACTGGGGCCTGATTTCAGGACATTTGCATTGTTCACAAGAAACCTCCCACCCATGGAGTCACTCTGCCGTCGCTCGGCCTCAGACCCGGTGACCACAGATCGCTGTCGCTGTTAACTAGGTGTCCTGAGAACTTCACAGAAATGGAGTCGTGCAGTGCGGGAGGCCTTCGTGCCTGGCTACTCCCTCTGCACATGCTCTGAGGTCCTCCGTGTGATAGTACCTTGCACTGCTCCATTCTTCTTATGGCTTAGTAATATTCCACTTATGGATTAAACTACACTAGGTTTCTTCACCTTATCATGAGAGGAATTTTCAAAATACCCAGAGCGATATGCTCTTTGAATCCATGAGTCCTGACATGGTGGCACTGGGAATGTTGGTTGCCCTCTGTTTCCTCTGTGCTTCCTTGGCGATTTCTCTCCTGTCTTGGAGAGCTTGTCTTTCTGGCTCTCGTCCCCCTGTGGCTGCCTCTTGGCTGTGGCCAAGGCCCGGGATGGGTGAGCACTGTGGGGTGTCTGGAGTTGTGACTTCCTCAGTGCCCAACACTCTCCACCCTGGAAGCCGGGTGTCCTGGGCTCCCTGGGAAGCACAGGTGTTCCCCGGCTGGATCTGGGGGACCAGGGCATCTCCCTGTCAGGGCCCCCGTGTTTAGGGTATGGGGTACAGGCTGGCTGTGAACCAATCAGACTTCTGTTTCTGATCATCTTTCAGACCCAGCCTGTGAGCCCTGAGCCCTGAGTCCTCCCTCACTGTCCTGGCTCAGGGGTCTCCACTCTGCACTGTCCCCAGGGCCCAGGCCTGTGTAACCCTCAGGGGACAAGCCTTCCTCAAACTAGCGACTGGAGGGCCAGCAATGCAACCTGCTGGAGCCTTCTGACCTGCAGGAGAAAGTGCATGGCTGACAGGCAGAGACCTAGCCAAGTCCGAGCCAGCAAGTCCCTGGGGCTCCGCAGGGCGAAGACCACTGAGGCCTTAGGAAGGAGCAGGGCGGCCTTGTGCCGGGGAGCACACAGCCCAGCCGAGGTGGACCCGGCTGTGTGATGCCCTGCCGCCCCTCCTAGCCCTCCTGAGTGCAGCACAGAGCAGAGCAGGGCTGCAGGGACGCTGTGGCTTCTGTGCCTCTGAGCCGCCATTGCCAGCCCTGCTTCCCAACAGCGGGGCCACTGGGCCAGCTCGTGAGAGGACAGAGGATGGGTGGCACCCTCCTGCTGGTGACAGAGATGTGGCTGCTCCCTGGCCACTAGGATGGCCTGCTTAGGAGAGGAGAGTACAGCGAACCGCAGGCTGATGCTGCACATGGGCATGACAGTGCCGGCCACACCTGCCCACCAGGACGGGTCGGGGCCCTGGTGTGGGCAGCTGTGCTGTGCCCTAGGTCACTCGGCTGGAGGCCCAGGGCAGGATGGATGACCAGTGCACTCTGAGGAGCAGGGCCGTTCCTCAGGCCAGCAGGAGCAATGGCTGTGTGGGCAGCCCCTTTTGAGGGGCAGTGGCTTTGCCCCCATCACCCTCCAGGCCAGCGCTGGGGCCAGTGGTGGTGCACCCTGTGGTGAACGCTGTGCAGGGCCAGGGAGGGCAGTCACCTCCCTCTCTGCCCTCAGGTCCCTGGGGCCGGTGAGCTCCTTCCCAAGCAGCTTCTCCCGCAGGCCAGGAGAGGGCTTGGCCTGCAGCCTCCGTGGCCCCACCCGCCCTCCACCTGCTCAGCCTGGGGGAAGAGTGGGAGCCCCAAACTCCCTGCTGACCCCGATGATTAGAATCAGAGTTACAACCTTTCCAGCCGAAGGAGACAGGATCCAAACACTTCTTCCAGTCTGGCAGCATTTCCCCAGACAACTTTAGGCCGTTTGGAACAATATCAAAAGAAAAAAAAAAAAAAAAACCCCGGGGAGTTAGGTTTCCAGTGAGGAGCTCAGGTGACCTCTGGGGCCCCTCCTTCCACGGCTAAAGGCCTTTGCATGAGTGCTGCCCACTGTTGGGGCTCCCCTTGGTGAGAGGGGTGTTTTCAAAGAAGGGGTCACCCATGTTTTCCAATGCAATTTATTCCCGTTCTGTCTAACCCAGACGTTTATCACATTTGTGATGCTGGTGGGAAACATATTTTTGACTGGATTTTTTTTTTTTTACCTTCAGAAGCTGCTCCTTTATTCCCTAATGTAAAATTCTAGCTTCAAAGTGAGTTCCTCCGCAATTGGCACCAAATAAGGCAGAGCACTTCACAGGGCCCCATCTGGGGCCCAGGCGGACATTCCTGGCATAGCCGCTCTACCCCAGGCGCTTAGCAACGCAGCCTTTTGAATTTGCTTAAAACTATTATGAAGTAATTAAGTTGTTAAAGGGTCTTTTCCAGCCGGATTCAGGAGGTGGGCTAAATTAAAGAAAACAAGTGAATGGCCGGCCAGTCTTCCTTTTAGCTGACCTTGCATGCTAATAAATTCATCCTGTATTTTTCTGCTACTGCCAATTTATGGCCCACAGGAAACTAATCTTGTCCAATCATTGGCTTCCTGTGCTTAGGCCCTAAACAGAGCCAAATGGATTTGGTGGCGGAAGAGCTTCCCGGTGGTTCCTGTGGGGGTGCTGAGCCCCGCAGGATCTGAGTGCCTGCCTGCGCTTATTGACTCGGACGGCAGAATTATGTTCTTGTTTTGGCCGCCCTGCACTTAAGAACAGAAAATGAAAAACAATCCTCAGAACAATGCCTACTGCAATGATTTCAGCTCCCAGCTGGACAGTGAGATGCGGGTTTGGAGACAGACCCGGGCCCTGGGGATTCAGGAGGCCCCCACACCTGGCTGGCACTGAGGAGAGCTTCGATGAGGAGGAAACACCTGCTCTGTGATGGGAGAGAGAGTGCACCAGGGGTGGATTTGGTACTGAGCCAAGGAGGGGTCGTTCTCATCTAAAGTCAGATGCATGACTTGGGGTAGGAGGGAGAGAAGGACAGAGAGCCACGTTGGTTGAGTCACTGCTTACAACGCAGTTGAGTTGGGCTTGGATGAAGAGATGGAATGTTAGCCAGGTGTAGCAGTGCAGGCCTGTAATCCCAGCACTTGGGGAGGCTGAGGCAGGAAGACTGCAAGTTGGAGCCCAGCCTGGGCAAGTTAGTGCCTTAGCAAGACCCTGTCTCAAAACACAACAGCAACAACAAAACATTTAAAAAGAGAACTGGGGATTGTAGCTTGGTGTGCAGGCTGTGAGTTCAATCCCCAGTACAGTATTGAAAAAAAACAAAGCAAGACAAAAACATAATTGCAAAGGCAGGATAGCCACGTGATCCCCTTCAGCTCACACATGTCACAATCAAGCTGGGAAAACTGTGCTCTACATGACCGGAAGTACTTCATCCTTGATAGTTGCCTGGTCTCCCGGTCTGGCTGCTCTCAGGCTGGCTGTGCCTTGGTCCCACCCCATTTGGTCAGAGGAACTTCTGGCCCCAAGGCTCAGTGGTTGGGAACAGTGTCTGCTTCTGTTTGCTCCAGGCCAGCAATGGAGTCATCCTGCGGTAGGGAATGGAGCTGTCCAAGGAAGGATGGACATGCCACGCTGACCAAGAGGGGTGCAAGGTGAGCTGAGGCCCTGAGTGACCACGGCAGGGTCGGCTGAGGAGAGACCTGGGCCCCCTGGACATGGTGGTGCAGCACTCGGTGAAGCATGCAGCCCTCTGGGTTTCCTAGGACCTCTGTGCAGCTGGTGGGCTCAGCAGTGGGGCTGCGAGGGACCACACAGCGCTGTGAAGCACCCAGTCATCGGGGCCTCTGTTGCCAGTGGCCACAGAGGATGACCCTGCTGTCCCCAGCGAGCGATACATGGGTTAAGAGACTGCTTGGCTTCCCCTGGGTCGAGGCGGGTCTCCATCTGTGACTCGCCGACTTTCAAAGTGGGTGTGTCAGCTGCTATCCACGAGAGTCTGGCCCCGGCTAGGGCTGTGAGCACGAAGGGACAGGAATGCCTGGAGTAGACGCCCGGACCCCAGCTGGGCAGTGGCTGCTTGGTTATGACAGCTGAGCAGCTACACCGCTGGCAGCAGGCCAAGGAGACATTGCTCAAGCAGCCTTTGCACAGCCCTGATTCTGCATGGGGCTGGACAGGAGGGCCACGTGTGTCGGGAGGGGCTGGACAAGGTGACTGGAAGTGGCTACCAAGTGCCCCAGGAAGGGACTTTGCCCCTCGCTCATGTGACGGTAGCTCCACCTCTCCCCCAGAGTGGCTGGGGCCCCCTCTTCACACCTGAGTCTTCCCAGCACCTAATAGAACGGCATCCCTCTTATGCCAGCCCTGCTTCGGGCGTTTGAGCCCAAACAGGAAGCAGAAAGTGCAACATGAAGGTGGCCTCATCCAGCCTGCCTGCTGCAGGGGATGAGGGACAGGGCCACCTTCCACGGAGCAGGGGCTCTGACTCCATGCTCCTGGGCTGTGGATTTGGAAGATCTCAGCTGGTCACTCCCTGTCCCAGCCTGGTGAGCATGGAAACCCTGTCCCTGGAGCTGCAGGCGCCGAGGGCGTGATGGCCCTGCTGCGGCCCATCTTGGGACTCACCTTGGTCACGGGGGAGCTGGGAAGCAAACCCGGGTCACAGGCAGGGGACTCATGGGTGGGCAGCCCCGGGCTCCCCATGATGTCTCCACCAACTCCCACTGCCGTGTCTCCCGGGCGAGGCTCCTTGTGCCACCGAGAGAGGAGGGCACCGCAGTGGTCCTGCTGAGTCCAATAGTTTGTCGTCAGCTCTGGATGTTTTCCTGGCTCAGATGTTTGGAAGAAAAAGCACCTCAAACAAGGGTGCTGAGTGGGAGCCCCCTGCTGGGAGCCCTTTCTGTCCACGGGGGAGAAGCTGGGACCCTTCCCTGCTCCCTTGGAGGACTGGGAAGCGTCAGCTCCACCTCAAGGCCTCTGAGAGAGTGGGGAAGGGGGATGGTGCTGTTTGCTCCCACAAGGAGAGAAGAGATTGCCCTGAGGCCCTGGGATGGGGAGGCAGAGTGGCTGAGCCCTGCTCCCTCTCAGGTCGCTCTTCGGGAGGGGGATCGGGTGACGGGAGGGACCTCGGCCAAGCGCCTCTGCCTTCCTGGGCTGGACACTCCTGGGCTCTGGCGTGGGCTGCCGACTTCATTCGTGGCTGGTGGCTCTGATGACCTCATAGCCGGAGCATGGCGTGGACTCCGGGGACTCGCAGCGCGTCAGTGGCAGCTGGGGCTGTGTCCAGCACTGCCGTCGTCCTCCCTGATCTCCGGCGGCTGTTGGCTGGGTTCCCAGAACAGACCTTTCCTGCTCCTCTCGGCAGAGCCAGTTGGCCTTTCCACATCCCAGTCGGCTGCCGGTGGAGGTCATCGTGGACCTCACTGCCCTGTGTTTAGGACGCTGGCAGCCGTGCGGTTTCGTCACCAGGCACTGGGCTGGCTGTGGAGAGCCTCCCTGCCTCGGCCCAGCTGGGTTCCTGTGACAGGAGCACTCGGGGTCACGGCTACCTGGGGTGGAGCCCAGGGGTGCCCTGGGGGCACAGAGCTAGCTGGGTGCGTCACGGATTCAGGTCCACCCTCCCTTCTCCTTTCAGGCTCTGGCAGCTACTGGAAGTCTGAGCTGTTGGTTTCTGTCCGAGGTGAACTACTTTCAGAAAAGTTGCAACTACCGCAAAGTAACTTTTCCCTGACACCTGAGCCCAGCCATAGTCTCTACCCTGCACTGTGTTGCTAAAAACCACAGCAGAGGCCACGCCGGCCTCAGACCCTCGCCCGTCTGCCGCAGACGCCTTTTAACAGCAGAAGGATACACTTGGAGCTGTCACGGCTCCGCACCTCCAGTGGCCCGGTGGGGTCCCCAACCACGGCCGTCCTGGCCCCCATTCCATGTCTGCAGGGTGCAAAGCCGAGGCAGCCCCTGCGCTCTGATCACCAGAGCCTCCTGGTGGCCAACTCAAGCCCAGCGCCCTGGGCAGGGGAGCTCAGGAGGCCAGAAGTGAGGTGCACAGGGGTGCGTGAGCGCCAGGTACCTCCCGCCCTTCCCCTGTAGGAAGGGCCTAGTCCGGGGGTGCCTGGCAGGTGGGAGTGTGTTCAGATTGAACCCGTATTACAGCGAGAGGACCTGGGAAGGCAGGCTCTGTGCGAGGGGACATCCCGATGGAGAGGGGCACCAGATGGAGTACCGCACTCCTACCTAAACGTCCAAGCCCAGTGAGCAGCAGCTCAGAGCGGCTTTGGCTCCATGAGAGACGTAGGAGAGCTTGTCATGTTCCTGCTGGCTGTCTTTTACGTCCTCTTTGCGGAAAGTTCTACTCAAGTTTTGGTGCTTCTTGTTCTTATCGTTTTGTTAGTTTTAATTTTATTAGCACGTTAGCAGCACGTGATGACGGCCCTCACCTGGGGAGCTGGTGCCTGTACACGGGCACCTCCACACCTTCTTTCTTCTGTCTCTTCCCCTCCCTTGTCCCCACTGCTCCACCTCTGTCCCCTTCCCTGTGCAAAAGCTCTTCTCCCTGTTTCCTGTGATCTTTTATTTCTTTTTCTGCAGCCACCGTGCCCAGCTAACTTTTCACATTTTAAAATTAAACTTTAGCTGTGCTTGGAGACCCCAAACAGTAAAGTGCTGTAAGTCACGGGCCTGCAGGTCCCGTGGATAGCCCACAGGCGTGTGCATCTCCCGTGTTGTTCCCGTGCCCCGGCCTCCGATCTGCTCTGTGCCCTTTTATTGCGAAGACGTCTCCGTCCCAGCAGTCCTGATCGGTGCCCTCGACACGACAGTGTCTGATCGCAGCTCACGGGGCTGTTACTTGATATGGAAATGGACCGACCACTCGGGAAGACGCCCGTGCACCTGTCGGATCCCCCTCTCCGGAAGCTGCCTCCTTGCGAGCAGCCTTGTGAGCAGGTGGAGCCCTTGGTGGGTGCAGCCAACCCATCCCGGGAGACAGGTGTGAGTGTCCCAGCTGGGGCCACCCCACTTATCGGGAGTCAGGAGTTCTCATCCGCAAAAGCAGGTTTGCTGATTGGCTCCAGGAGCCCCCATGCCTGCCCTCTGTTGCTGAAGCCACAGCAGTCGGACTGAGTGCACACGCGTGTGTGTGGTGGGGACAAGGTGTGTCCCGCAGCTCCATCCTCGCCGGGATCCCCTTGCCCTACCCCGTGGCCGAAGGGCCCTTCGCTTCGCTGCACTAAGATTTGCTCTTAGTGTTTCTGAGATTGCAGCCCACAGGAGCCCATTCATAAACACAACAAAGAATAGTGTTTAATCCAGTTGATCCCGGAAGCAAACAGGTTTCACCCATTTAGACAATATCCGTATAGAAAGGCAAACTGAGTCCCCCTCTGATGGGAGTGGAAGAGATGGCAGGGGAGCGCGGAGTCCCTCGTCCTGCTGCTCCTCCCGTGCTCAGAGCCCCTGGTCCAGCACAAAAACTGAGGCTCTGTGCCGGGGATGGAGACTCGGGAATCTGTAAGTCAGCCGTGTCCAGAGCAGAAGCAGGGTGACCTCTGGCCCAGGCCTGTGTCACAGGTCAGTGGGAGGAGAGAAGCCAGGGCAGGGACAGGTGTCAACCGGAAACGAGCCACGGTGCCACAGCCAGGATGCTGCCCGCCCTCCCCACGGCCGCATCTCCAGCGGGGGACCCGGGAGCCACTGCCAAGGAGGCGTCACCGTCCAGAGGTGTCCTACTTCAGGTGCAGAGAAGTCTCCCCACACAGGCCCACCCTCTGCAGTTCACAAAGCACAGAAGGGGGTGGGGGTGGCGGAGCCGCCTCTTGGGCGTTTCTCCTTTCTAGATTTCGGAGAGGTCCGGACGTGACCTCCCTGGGGAGCCAGTGATGACCAGCATCTCTAACCTCCCAGTGCAGTTCCTTCTCTGCGGGCCTGTGTGTCACAGTGCTTTCCTTTCCGGCAAGGGACCTTCAGTCCCCTGGAGACACAGCCCGCGGCCACGATTCCTGCTCAGAGGTGAAACTTCCTTCATCCCAAGTTGGTTGACTCAACATCTTACTTTCCCCTTCCCAAGGCAGCTATGTTTTATCCCATTTTACAGATGAGGAAACTGAACCCTAAGGAGGCCAGTTTACCTGGATTTTTAGTAGGGGGCTGAGGTCCGAAGACAAGATCTTTAATTCCAGAGCACACCGTGTGTGTGTGTGTGTGTGTGTGTGTGTGTGTGTGTCCCTGGGGACTGAACCCTAACCCTTTGCACTCAGCTGCATCCTCATCTTTTTAAATTTTGCATCAGGGCCTTCTTAAGTCACACAGGCTTGGCTCAAACTTGCAGTCCTCCTGCCTCAGCCTCTCAGAGTACCAGGAGTAGAGCCCCACGCTGCGCTCTGTTCAGAGGACTGGGATGAGGCCTGGAGAAATCTCTCTGTCATGCTTAGGACTCTCTTCTGAATTCAGAGGAAGGAAGGAACAAAAGGGAGACGAGGGCATCCTGGGGTGACAGTGCCTCCTGTCTCTGGGTCGCCGGACACGGAGCCCCCCGCAGCCAAGCCCTGGCCCGGCCTGTGGAGTGGCGCAGAGAGGACTCTCTGGCCCCGTTCTCGGGACGCCCTCACAACAGTCTCAGTGCGCCGGGGTCCAGGACGGCGCCGTCCCCTCCAGTGGGCACTTCCTGGCTCATCTTCTGTGGTGGAGGACACACGCACGCACGCACGCAGTCCCAGATCCCTCTGGCTTCCTGCGAGGCCTCACTCAGCTTTCCAAGCCACGGCTGCGTACGTTGCATACTTTTCTCACGACTTCCACTCGTCGCTAGCTGTCCCTCTCTTCCTCATCCGAAGGCTGCACAGAGATGCGCAGGAACCGAGAGGGACAGACCAGCAGCCTAAGACGTCCTCGCTGTCATTTCCACTCAGCAGGGTGTCCCCGCCAGTTCCCGCTCAGAACTGAGCAGTGCTTTAATGCTTCCTGCTAAGAGGGCAGGGGCAGTGCGATATGACGTGCGTGGTATGTGTGCGTGTGTGCGTGCGTTACTGGAGATGGAACCCAGGGCCTTCCCACTGAGAAAGAGCTTCTGTAAATTGTCACATTGCCCAGGCGGGCTGGAACTTGCAATCCTCCTGCCTCAGCCTCCCAGAGTGCTGGAATTACAAGCGTGCACTATTATGAATCTATCCAGATACATCTACAAAAAAAATGTGCATCAACCTGGGAAATGAAACTTGCTCACTGCTTCAAGAGAGTGCCTGCAGTTTTTGTTCATGCAGGTATGGTAGGTAAAACTGTGTGGAATCACTGTCTTTGGGTAAAATGCTTGGTTGCTATGAACCTTTCAGGTTGGCATTAGCGCAAAGTTTACCTGAGTGGAGATTCCATGGAAGTGGGAATAAAAGACAGAACAGAACACTCTGAAATATTTTCAGTTAAATATGATCATTTTTGAAAACAAGACTTGGGGAGCCTGAGATTTCTAAACTAGGACTCTCACTTTAATGAAAGCAGCATGTATGGCCCGGAGAGGGGGCATTCGCAGAGAGCACAGATCCACTTTGGGCAGGAGTTGACAGATGGAGAAAGGACCGAGGTCTCTGTGTGTGAGCCCTGGGGTGGGGGCACTGAGGACTAGTGCTGGGTCCTCAGCGGGTCAGTCTGACCTCTCATCAGTGTCGGTGAGAGAAGTCACGGGCGGCAGGACAGGGAGAGCTCGAAAGGCTTTCTGTGAATTACAAGAAGTGCCAGCATCAGAGGCCTGGAAAGATGGCTTCACCAGAGCAGTGGTCAGCTCTGGTCAGTGGGACTGAGAGACAGGCTTCAGGGACCCATGACACAGAGAGTTGGGCCTCAGCTTTCCAGGGCTGGAGAGAGGAAACATGAGACTCAACTCCATCCTAATTTCACTCTGAGAAGGAAAGTGAAGTTGTTGTTTGCTGGGTGTAAGCAGCCTGTAATCTCAGCCCTGGCGGGGGTGCGTGCTGAGGCAGGAGGATCAGTAGTGAGTTCAAGGCCTGCCTGGGCTACCTAGTGAGATCTTATCTCAGAAAAACAAAACAAAGCAAACCAAAACCACAACCCAAACCCAGTGAAACCAAAACCAGAACCAAAACAACCCCAGAAAAGCAAAAGTGTCACTTAGCAAGAGCTCCCTGCCACACGCCCAGTTTCCCTGAGGAATTCTCCGGTCGGCTGGTCCTTTCTGCTCAGGCGTCAACCCTGCCCCCGCCCCCCGTGTTGTCCATTAAGGAAGCACTTCATTTCCGCCCCCAGGAGGGAGAAGCAGGGCTGGGATTTTATGACAGGAAACACAATTCAAAGTCTTGGCTCCCAGGAGCTGTGCTTCCTCCCTCAGAACTCCAGAGCCACTTGCTGTGGCCGGCTGGGGCCGAGGTCGGTGTCCCCGTGTGCTCACGCCTGCAAGTTGGGCTTCCCGAGGGCTGGCAGGTGGGCAGGACCCCAGGATGTCCCACCTCAGAGCGCAGTCTCAGACCGGAGAGACTTGCGGTCTTCTTGATCTACTTTAGTTTCTATCTTCAGGAAATGAAACTGAGCTGGAGAGAGGAAGGGGCTGTTTGGGGTCCCTGGACACCCCGCAGGCTGCATCCAGGCTCGGTTTGGCTGTGTCCCCCGTCACCGGCTCCACATCCCGCCCTGTCTGTGTCCCACCCCGGTGCAGACCCTTCGTGTGTGCTCTGCAGGCTGGAGGAGAAAGGCCAGCTGGCGACTTGGTGCAACCCACAAGCGCAGCTCTCAGGTTGCAGGTGGGGCTGTCAGTCACCCTCTCCCCTCAG